AGGTTTATTCAGCATGGCAGAGGACGCATACTATTTGCATAGACCGGTCAGAAGGAATTAAAACTGTTTGTCTTTTCCTTTAGCCTGGTCTTTTCCTATTACAGAGAGTTCAGAATATTTTTGTAAGTCATTTGACTGTCTCTTTGCTGGCTGTTCATGGCAAAGAGGTTTCCAAGCACATAGGTATTTGAGTAACTCCCTATAAATAAATGAATTCTACTCACAAATGAATTCCTGGATTCAGTAGCTGGTTAAGTGTCCCTTAGTGTGTTTAGGAGCAGTGAATCACCGTGTTCCTCCCATTATCTCAGCGATAAAGCAAAGTTTGTAACTCTCAGGCAGAAATACGCCTACTCCTGTCTGGGAGAAGCAATGCTTCCAAAGACAGGGAAGGATCTTTTCCTGCTTTTTCTCTTTCCCTCTCCTCTGTGTTCAGATTCCTCTGTGAATGGCTGCTTTCTGGAGTAAACTTTCCTCTCACTGTGGCTCCAGCCACCCTGACATGTGCTAATATGCTCTTTACGAAAGATGATTTCTATTTCCAGCCTCACTTGCAGTGCTGGGAATTACAGGGCGACCTCCTTTCTGTCAGGATAGTTGGTGGTGAGCACAGCAGTGTCTAATTCAACTGCAATCCAGAACGGGGGAAGGGAGCTGCTGCTCCGGGGAAAAGGGCAGGTTTTCAGCAGCTCTTTAAAGGAATTAAGGAGCAATTCCTCCCCGTCAAAGCAGAGGATGGAGATTCCATGTGGGACTCAGTAGGTGGCACTCTGTTTCTGGAGAGAGCACGGAGCCTTGGGAGAGCAACTGGATTTGTGTTTGGTTTTGGTTTGAACCAGATCTGTTCGTTGAAGAGCTGTTCTTGTAAGGTTAGCAAGGTTGGCCACGGCGTCTGAGCTAAATTCCACTGCTGGGGAGAGTATCCTGGCTCCCTGGCATTTCCAGTTAGGTACATTTTTATTTTTGCTTCCTTTTGAGGCAGTGCCTCACTTCAACCCAGAGCTGGCTGTCTTTCAGCAGGAGCTGGAAACATCCAAAAAGCATTGTTAATTTAGAGGTGAGGTTGCTCAAGTCTATTTTCTCCTGACAGTACAAACACTATAGGGCCAGAACAGAAGGTGAGGCCACAAATGTGCCCCACTCTGGGGCAGGGTTTGAGTGCTGTTCTGACCAGAGGTGCTGACTGGGCTCACCTCTATCCTCTGAGACCCATTGTTTCCTCTCTAATTCCTCACAGCCTTTCCTGAGCTCCTGCACTGTAACTGGTCGCACTGCACCATGGAATAGTTTTGAAAAAATCAAGGTTTATTTAATTTTACAATTACTCCCAAAAGCAATATTCCTGGCCTGCTGTTACAGTATGCACTAGACAGAACAGAAAGATGATCTGATGTTCAAAATCCACAAATTAATACCTACAAAGTGTACAGACTGTCAGATCAGCTGAGCGACACCAGCAGTGCTTAAGGAGCGTATATTCTTGAAGTGTCTCTGCCACACTAATTCTCAGACGCATTCTGTTTAAATAATATATTAGGAATTAAAAGATCGGGGGTAGCGGTGCATGTTAAAATGTGATTTTCAGATCCAAGAAGCGTGCAGAGAGTAGGATGTAGTATAAGAACCAAGTGTGTTTGAACAAGACATCTGGTTTATATAGTGCTGGCTGTTCCCTGTGCTGTGAGCTGTTCAGTTGCACTGAGTCAACTATAATAAAACAATACATTCATATTTATTAATTTTTTATGTAGGCTTTTGAAAACAGGAAGAGAAGTGAGAAGAACACAGGATATCAAGGAAGATGCCCAAGAGATGCATCTCTGTTAAGCTCTTTTGCAAGCTCTATGAATAGCTTCAGATCTGGTTAGACTCAAGAATCAAATACAGGTCCTAACCCTTATTTAGCCTCAGACTTCCATGGACAAATCCCATGCTCTTAATTTTGCCATGCAGCTTCTCTATCTGCAAGACAGGGATAATAACTCCATCTCCCTCTCATGGGTGCAGTGGAGCCAATTTCATCACTGTCAGCTCCGTGGAATCCCTGGGTGAAAGGAACAACAGAAATACAGAAAACATGGGTTATTAATAGCTGGTGCTTGCCCTTACATACATCACATGCACCGTTAGTCTTTGTGGCCAATAATTTACAGGGAGTGAAAAGATGTTCCTGAGAGTAAACACAACATGACACATGGATGGTATTAGACCTCTGAGGTGGTGTGGTCCCCAGGAGTCTAATTCAGTCTAAATCCAGGGATGCCACCCTGAGCAGATCCTACTTCATATATAGGTAAAATGGAAATGTGCAGATCTTAATAGTCAAATTTAAACTTCTAGGCAGTTTATATTGTAAAGGCGGGTGCTGGAATTGGTGTGCAGACCAGATTCCTGGTGGTTTCCAGCTTTTTCTGCCTCCTTCTTAGAGCCCAAAGGTTACATCCTCCTTGACACCTTGGATACCCTTCTGTTAGTAGGGATGTCCTGGGTACAAAATTTACCTTCTGTAGTTTGTAAGTGGTGGCTCTGGAGCTCAGAACTGAGGGGAGCCTGTGGCAGTAATCTCGGGTCACTGGTACCCCCTTGAGGAGAGCTGGGGTGTAAGAAGCACATGGCCATGATTTTCAGCACTTCACCTCTCTTGCCCACATTGCAGCCCATGATTCTCCATGGGCAGGGCAGCAGTGCCAGCAGACTGGGAGAGAAGAGCCTGTGGGAAGGGAGTTTGAGGAGCTTAGAACTGGAAGAGTGAGAAATGCTGGAAATCAGGATGCAGGACAGCTGATTGAGAGAGGCCAGGGCAGCAGGATGTGCCACAGTCAGGCAGAAAGCATTTCACTGGGCTTCTCTGCGTGTGGAAAACATCTTCCTTTAACTGGGAGCCATCCTGCCACTGCTGTCCGTGTCCCCAGGTGTCACTAAGTATGGAAATCACCATCCAACATAAAAGGAAGAGGCACAAAATCCAAAGATCTCTGAAGAAAACCACTTTCTGCAAGCCTGGCCATGCCTGGTTCATGCCATTAATTTGAAACTTGGGAAAACTCATTTTCTTTGTGCATATCTCCTCCTGTATCCCCGAGGGCAAATTAAAGATGGCTGGGAGGTTATTTATTTTCGGTAATAATGCACACACTGCTTCCAGACTTCCTGCCATTGTGCGATTATCGAGATTAATTGCCCGGGAAAGCTGCAGCATCATCTCAGGCCCTTAATAAGGAAGATCACAACATGGATTTATATTAATGCACATTACTGTGTGACACGGCCTTGCTCTTAGAGCCACATGGACAAATCTCAGTGCTGGGTGCTACCAGCACCGCTGCACCTCCAGACTGAGGGAAGGGTTGCATGTTCCCTTCCCTGCAGGGCCATGGCACCTTGAGAGCAAGGAAGAGGGAGTTGATGACATTTTTAGAAACCTCGTTAGTGAATAACTTTGCTTATTCTGAAATCAGTTCCCATCAGCCTCTGCTGAGTGATTCTGAGAATTGCTGGTGTGCTGCTGGTGACCCTGTCTGTACAGGTGCAATAGCTGGAATCTTAAGTATGCTTTTAGGTGCTTTAAAGTGTTGTGTTCTTACCAGGAAGAGAGACTCTGTACAGAGAAGGCTTTTAAGGCATATTCTGCCCTTTTAGTTTTCCTGCTGAGAGTTTAACAAACCAGTGTTGTTGCCTTGCTATAGAGATCCTGTCGTGCAGCAGCTCAGTCTGGTCTGAGGCTCAGGTTTTAAATGAACAACCATTAACAAAGGTAGAGCTTGAGGAGCTTTAAAGCAAATCCAGTTCTCCTAAAACATTTCAGTGATTTGGACTGTAATGTGTCAGGCAGAGGAGCAGCATGTGTGTGTCCTTCAGCAAACTCAACACTTTCCTCTGTTAAATCCCTGTAAATCCAGAGTCACTCCAGTGCCATCACTGCTGTTAATTGTTCATTTGCTGTGACAAGTTAGTTGTGGTATCTCACAATATTACAGTGGCTGCCCCATAGAATACAAAGTGGAGCTGATGAAATCTTGGCAATGGGAGCCCACAATACACTGGCATCTCTACATGTGAAACATTTGGAGGGGACTGGAGCACCACTGTGTTGGGCAGCAAGGCTCCTCAACAAACTGACACCCAGGAGAGGTTTTAGTCCTCACTCTGGCTGAGTTGTGACCACATTGTCAGATTGTGTATCTTTTACACCAATACCCGTGGAAAAATCTTTTAAAAAAACCCAAACAAATAAATTAGGGATTATACTCAGACTGTGTGTACCTTCAAAACAAAAAGGGATGTTATTGTAAGGTCCGCTGGATAATATTGACTTGCCACTGAGGTGAAGATAAGCTTCTTGGAGACTGTGCTCCATGGAAGAGCAGTTAAATGTTGTTGTTACTTTCCTTAGAAATGAAATAGATATTTCCAGGCATGTGACTCCGAGCTTTATTGATTACTTCTGTACAACACAGGAGTCTATAGAGTGTGGACTAAGTCCTGAAGTCCAGGCTCCATGTAAGCTTGGCTCAGCAGGAAATCTGAACTGAGCACTGTAGATGACAGCCCGGTCTCCAGTTCCATCCTGATCCCAATGCTATCAGTGCTGGCTGCTTCTAAAGAAGGATCAGCTTGATGATTTTGGCCCCAAATGGCTTTACTGACATACAAACTGAGGCCTTCCAAATTCTCTCCTTACCCAACAGTCACTGTAATAAGTGCAGGTTTGTCAGTCTCTTCTGGGGCAGCTCCCAAGTCCCAGTGAAAGTTTCCAAGTGGGCATGGCCAGCCATGCACTCAGTTCCCTCAATCCTTTCTGAACCCTCAAAGCCAGAGGATGAGTGTTCCTGTGATATTAATTACTTAATTAGCAGCCTGTGCCCTCTGTGCACCAGGCAGAGCAGCAGCGAAGGGAGTGACTGACAGCAGAGATGTATTAGTTCATTAGTTCTGTTGACCCGGGCTCCCTGATCTCCCGCTCTATGGCTGATCTCACATGTCTCTGTCTTGCTGTCCAGGTTTTATTGGGATTTGACCATGCTGCTCCTGATGGTAGGGAACCTGATCATCATCCCCGTGGGCATCACTTTCTTCAAGGATGAAAACACTACCCCATGGATTGTCTTCAATGTGGTTTCGGACACGTTCTTCCTCATCGACCTTGTCCTCAACTTCCGAACAGGCATCGTGGTGGAGGACAACACCGAGATCATCCTGGACCCACAGAGGATCAAGATGAAGTACCTCAAGAGCTGGTTTGTGGTGGATTTTATCTCCTCCATCCCCGTGGACTATATCTTCCTGATCGTGGAGACCCGCATTGACTCGGAGGTGTACAAGACGGCCCGGGCCCTGCGCATCGTGCGCTTCACCAAGATCCTGAGCCTGCTCCGGCTGCTGAGGCTCTCCCGGCTCATCCGCTACATCCACCAGTGGGAGGAGGTGAGCACAGCCTCTAGGGCACTGACTTCTAAACCTTCCCTTGCAAAAGTGCTTGCTTTGAATGCCCACTCTCCTCCTTTATGCCAGTGCCATTGCTAAACGGTTGTGGCTGGGGCCTAATGCTTTGTTTTTAGCAGGTTCCCAAGAGGGCCTTCTGCATCTTGTTACTTAGGCACTTGAGACTGTGCTGTTGGCTTGAGGATCATCATTGAGATGATGTGTGGAGATGTTGTGTGGGCTGGGAGAAGAGCAGGACCCCTTGCAGGAAGTGTGTAGTGATAGAGCTGCCTGTGAGCAGAGCAGTTACCCAGACAGCGAGGGCTTGCCCTCCCAGAGCCCCAAAAGGGCCAGAAACAGCTCAGAGGAAAGGTCTAGAGACAGCTGATTTGCAGGACCTGTGGCATCTGTTTACCATCTGCTTCTTCTATGTGCTTATCTCTTGAATAAAGAGAGAAGCATGGAGATGTATTATAACCTTGCTGTCTAAATTCTGTGACACTCTCTTAAGGGGAAGAGGAAGAGCAATCTGCAGACAAATAGAGTCTGTTTAAAGACATAAAGGTCCAGTGCAAGCCAGATCCCTACTACCACCCCTGGACCCTGTGCTGTTCTCAGGGGAGTTCCAGGATGCAGGGTGAGTTGTCAGGCATAATGTGAGTGAAGGTGCAACCTTTCAAGTACCTTGAAAATTAGTTATTTTTTCCTGTCTCCGTGCTCTCCAAAGCAAAGAGAAAGCTCCCTGCGTCTTTCTCCACACCTCAGGAGCATGTTTTCTGGACAAGGAAAGCTGGTCAAGGCAATTTCATCTTCCTCCCCATACTTTCTCTTCTGCTTTGGAGCAGAGCCTGATGCAGAGCATGATCTAATGCGGAGCGTGCTCCTGGGAACGTGAAGGGAAAGCAGCCATGCAAGTCATGGCTGGATTGCACCGAGCTGTCAGAACACTAATTTATGGCAGAGCTGAACCGACCCCTCCTCCAGCGTGGCAGACTCAGGGAGAGCACTGGGGCACACTTTACAAATTTCAGGCTTCATCTTTGTGGTGTTGTAGTTTGTGAGTGCCTCGCTCAGAGCAGAGCGTAACGCCTTGCTGAGGTCTGGGGTGACATTGTGCAAGGTGCTGCGAGGGTGCTGAGGGAGAGACAGCCACAGGAATTCCCTACGAGGTTCATTTGCTTCGTAGCACAGGCAGGAAGTGCACAGAGAGGTGGAGATGAATAAAGCAGGAGTGTCCTTCCCGGTGTGACTCAAGAGGTTGGAGGCTGAGAGAGCAGTGGAATAGCTGCAGGTCTGTTATCCTATCCCATGGCTGCATTGCTTCTTTGTCCTCCACTCTGAGAGCACTCAGGAAAGGCAAGTTGGTGGCTTAGGCTGTTGTTAAAGTAGTTCCTTCACAGTGATTTACAAGTACCCACAGCAGTGCAGAGCTCCCTGCTTGCTTGTCTCTGCTCCTTGACTTCCCTTCCATGAGGTGGTTGAAGAGGATTCAAGTATATTTGCTTTTGATTGTACTGAATTTGTTTTAAGAAATGATGAAATGAAAGCAAATCAGTGCTTTTCTCTCTCTTGCTCCTCACAGTTTGACTGGGCAGCCATTTCTAGTTTCATTCTCAAACCCAGTTTGTGGGATGTTGCTCCCTCCTGCTGCTGTTGTGGGTGCTGGGGCAGCACAGCCGGGTGCTCTCCAGACCCCCCCGAGGAACAGGCTCCCTGGAGCGATGCAGTGCTGCCTGTGGAAGGGCCAGATGGTGCTGGGTTGCAGTTTGGGACTGCAATGCAGACTCTGTTATGCACTGCAGAGCCTGCCAGACCAAACACGATAGTCTTTTTGTCAAACAGGGCTCAACCCAAGCAGCAATTTCCTGGAGAGAGTTTAATACTGGGAGGTTTCCCACCCTCTCACATGGGGGAGGGAAGCAGAGGAAGGGGTGATCCCTCACCATTGGTGCAGTGCCTGCTACAAAGCAACGGGGAGACAGGGGAGAGAAGTGCTGCTTCATCTTTGCGTGGGAGTTGTGCTCCCTGGAACCACACTGACAGTCCTTTCTTCCTCTCACTCTGAAGTGCCTACAGATGATCTGTGTCTGAAAGTCCACATTAATCTTTCCTCAGTGGTGATCTGGAAGTGTTCATTCCTGTAGGACGGAGCTGTGTCGGACTAGACCTACTCAGGGTGTATATGAGGGGCAGGTTGCTGTGCAGAGTTAAAGAAGCAGAAGGACTCTTGGGAGAGGGAGTGACTGAAGGCCTGTTCTCTTGTGGTTCCCCCACTGTCCCACTCTGTGTCTCATCATCTAGGTAGTATCCTTCTCTCTTAGGCTCTTTGCATATGACCAGATAAGCTAAAAAGGAGATGTGAGTAGGGCACACTGGTCCTCTGGAGGGGAGGGTTTGTGTGAACCAGAGGAGTGTGTGTAGGGCAGTGAGGCAGAGTTAACACAGGTGGGTGGACCAGTCACTGAGGGAGGGCAGGGTGTTGTGTCTGGGCAGAGCCTGCACATCCCACTCCCCTGCACATCCCACTCCCCTGCACATCCCACTGCCCTGCACATCCCACTCCCTTGCACATCCCACTCCCCTGCTGGGGCAGTGCCTTCTGACGGAGGGATTGCTGCTGCCTCACTCATAACTAGTGCTGGGACTGAGTCCTGTGTGAGGAGCAGAGGAGGACTCGGCACACACAGAGTGTTCTCTCCTTACTCAGCCTCCCAGAACGTTACAGCTGTGCATTAGTGGGACTGGGAGTGAGTACAGGGATAAGTGGTCACTTCCTGAGTTCTCAGTGAGCCTCTCCGTGCCTTTCCCTGCAATTGTCCATGCTCTGCATGAATTTATCACTCCCCCTGCAGTGAGGGGAGAGCAGCCTCGGCGAGGGCTGCAGTGCTGTAAAGCAGCCAGGCTCTCATCAGTTCCAGATCAATGCCAGGCAGGAGTCCGTGGGATCCAGAGCCAGGGGTTTGAAGTGCCTGCTCCATTGTGGCTCAGAGCAGACTGCTCTGACATCCACCCCCAGATCTCAGAGAAGTGCTGTGGGGACTTTAGCTGGGCAAACAACCTGAAGAGAAAAGGAAACTAAAAAGGAAGAAAAACAACCTAATGCACTCGTGTTCACTGGAGTACGAAAATAAGCTTAATTCCAAATGTAGCAGTTTCATTTGCATTATGCATTTTGCATGAGTGGCCCCACGAATGAATTTACCAGTAGGGCAGAGCATAAATAGAGTCTTTTTGAAGTGTCTGCCGTGTCTCCCCTGCAGTAGGAAGCTTGATTGCTGTGTAGGCAGGTGTACACGGACTGGCTGGAGCCTCGCTTGCCTCAGTACTGGATCACAAACTCCAGTATCTGGGAGCTCCCAAGGCCAGCAGCAGAGGTGCAGGAGGGCTGGCACAGTGGGATTGTGAAGCTGTCCTGCCAGGGCAGACCAAACAGGGCTGCTCCAGCCATGCCGTGTCCCTGCCCAGGGCAGCTCTCGTCACCTCGGCCTTGGAACCGCTCCAGCAGCTCTCGGGGTGCCCAGGTTGGTCCGTGGCTCTTGGCCCTGTGGACATGGAGGCACATTGTCCCAGGGTCAGGGAGCTGGGCCTTTCCACTGCTGGGCTCAGAAACCATTCAGAGGAGGCAGACTCCAAACATGAACATCCTACAAACCTTACCCCAAGGTCACCTGGCAGAAAGAAAGGAGGCACAAACACCAGGTAACCCACGGGCTCAATCAAAACAAACCGTCCTGGGCAGACTGGGAATGTTAGACAAAAAAAACCTCTGTAGGTTTTCATAAGCAAAAGGGATTGTATATTATTTTTTCCCTAAGAGCAGTTTGCTGAGCTTTCCCTGTTTTATGCACAGCATCTACCCCCGTGTTTGGTGCCAGGAAGCAGCAACCTATATTTAAGATCAGACTATTTTGACTTATGAACAAGGAACATTTATTGGAACAACAGTAAAATCCTGCTCCTGTAAATTGGTTTCCAAATAGCACATAGGCTAAGATAACCAAAATATTTTGATTTCAGACTCTATGGGAGCGATTATGATGAGAAGGAAAGGAACTATCTGTTTTTGATATATATCACAATGATAAGATGATCATAAATGAGGAATTTTTCAGATTGTAGCTTTTGGGTTTTGCAGCTGAAACCTGAAGAAAAGGACAATTTGATGATTTTCAAATTATTATGTCATTGAAAATTTGCAAACTTGCCTGAGTGTTATCGTTTTATTCCCCGGGGTTTCCATATTACAGAGAAGCTTTAGAACAGAGGGAATGCATCTTCTCAGGTGCCAGTAACAAATTCCCAGTAAAAACTCAGCACAGATTGCATCATCTGAAAGATGATGTCACTTTTAAGAAGACTCAGATATTCAGAAAATTGATTCAAAGGCTGGAGGGCCTGTGTGGAAGGACTAGGAGGGAGCTTCCGTAGGCTAGGAGGACATGGCTCCCAACTGATTTTCATTTTGATTTGCTGATTCCTTTAGTTTCTTCTGACCTATTTGTAGCCTTTTTAAAATTAAATTAAATGAACATGGCTAGTGGCCTGGGGGATATGATGTTAGGCCAAATCCATAAGTGGTTCCTGGGAGGGGAGGAGCCGGACAGAATGATTGTTCCCGAGCGGCACAGCAGGGTCCCGTTCCACAGGCACTTCAAAATAGCTGAACAGATTTTTTATCGATATGATTTGCAATTCTGTCGTGTTAAATAGCAAGGCAGACCCAGGAGAGTAACTCATTAAAACCTCTGACCACCCTTGAGGAAAATCAGACTTCACAAACACTGGTAATGTGGCCGGGAGGGGCGAATGGGCTGGGTTTTGTCCTAAATTTGCATTACCTCATTTCTGAAGGCAGCTTTATCAGGCATTGGTCTTAATGTCCTTATAGGAGCTTATTAGAACCATAATGCCAGTTACAATAATAAGTTTTCATTCTCACTGCACAAAGTGATCCAAAATTTGAAGCATCTTTTCCTCTCAGAGAGAATCCTGCACTGAAATCA